GATCCGTTCCGTTCAACATCCTCTTGCTGTTATCGCACTTAAAATTAAAATATATTAGGTAATTGAGAAACCACATGAACCAGTCAAACTCTTCATGGCGAGGGAGACCTCCAGCCAGTTTTGATAACGGCGACTTAAATGTTTTCTTATCAAAGGAGTCCCAGCAATTGGTGTTGGCGCATAAACAGAAACAAAAGGGATATTGGACAAATGTCATACGCCAATGAAGCCTATCGTACCCTAATCTGCCCCCCCCACGTTGGGTTTAGCGTATATACCATGCGGCCCCTTTAGGGAGTACAGTGCGAAACCCACCGCATAGTAGCAAGTGCCAACCTAGGTTTGGGAGGACCTCAGTGCGTGTGCCGGCGTGAGGCTGGCCCCAAAAATGGACTGCGTTGTTATGCTAAAGGAGCTACACAGGTGTGCGCAACAGACGCTGAAAGCAGGCCAAGTCAGCCAGAGTGTAGTGATTGTTGTAACTGTAGCCAAAGCTGCGATATAATCGTCTAAGTACGCCTTGTGTGAGTCCCCTAGGAAGAGCGCAAAAGTAGAAGTCATCCATCAAACCTAGTACACTGTACTTAGGGCAAGCGTAGCGTACAAGATTTAATCAATGAGATTGTGGTCTCAAGTAAGGCGCTAGTGCATTGGCTTGTGACTCATGCAGCCGGCGTCTTGGCGTCCTGAGCTTGGCCACATCTACGCGCGTTATCACGTGCACTCTGTGTGGGCGGACGGGTTGTATGGCATGAGAACGACTCGTCAGGGCTGTGTTCGCACGCCATTGAGTTGGGTCCTGACAGTGATCTAGAATTTCACGGCCACAGGTTCGAAAGAACCTCAGTTGTTCGCTCGTCAAAAAATACATTTTCAGTATTGCCTTATTGTGCTCCTTAGGATACTGTTAAAATCGCCGAATTTGATCCTAGGGCGATTCGGACGCTCTTTTGAATAGTCCTGGAGACAATAGCTAAAACGTATGGAGGCGCAAAATGTCATTCCTACCGCAGTTACTTGACAGTTGGACCGTCCTTTCACGGTGGGGGGAGGGGAGGGAGGGTGGAGCAGTGATGGCGACTTGAACATGAAGAGATAGTTGCATTCCGTTGCATATATCAACGCTCTCCTCCTAAATTACCTGTGCCCGACGTCATGATCAAGTCAAGAACGCCAGAGGTTGGATCGGATGCAACTGTCTAGAATGGCGTGAACCCGAAAATAGGCATGCTATCACATTCCCTAGTTTACACACACAATAAGGACGAGTGGGAAGACGGTTCTCTGATGCAAACTTACTGTTACTGTCGTAACCTGCCGTCAGTGCTGCTGCCCTGACTCATTCTCTCTTCGATCGTCAAGCATTTGGGTACCCGCGCGTCTCTCTCAGTTACTGAATGACGTCCGCGGTGTCCTATCCGTCCTACACTCCACCGTGTAGCGCCCGATGTGGGTATTGTGAACTGGTTGTACTGGGATGCACTTGGTATCGGGGGTTTCGATTCAGCGGGCTTGGTATCTTCGTATCCTTTCCTTATTAGGGAGCCCACATCATCACATGCGGATACAATGTAACCAGACGAGTCACTCATATTCCAAGAACATAAGATGTGATAAGAGTG